CGGAAAACACGCTTCGCGAAATCCGGAAGGAGAAACTAGATATTTCAAGGAAAAATTATTGTGAAACACGACGACGCGACAGGCTTAAACAAGGTTGTTTCGCATAAAGATAAGATTGCATAAGATTGTTAGTTTATTTCCTAGATGCTGCGGAGCTCTTCGACAGGGTATGTTGTCAACATCTCGCAGTGGATGTAAATTTACATTCGTTTTGCCTAAAAGAGAGCAAGTAAACGAGCACCGAGATTGATTCAAAATCGATTTTATTTTTACGAACGTATTTTTAGAATAGCCACGCGTGTGATATCAATTTCCGAGTATCAGAAATTTCAGGAAAAATTCGGGCGCCTCGAATATTAATTTCGAAACATTTTCGAAACCGGGCTGACGAGCGATTTTCAAGATAAAGGGACTGACGACGAAGTAACATATATATATATACTCGCTAACGCTATCGATCGCAGTTAACGATGGGAGAAAGTACATTCGCAGATGTCTCGGTGTATTAAGAGAGGAATATAATCTTTTTAATCTTCCCAACTACTTCAGAGAAGAACCGAAAATGAGAATAGTCGCATGAGGCGAAACGCATAATTACGCGTATCAGATCGAGCGAAAATCCTCGCAAAATGCTATCATTTCGCGACACCGATTGTCGTATCGCTTCATTTCATCAAATTCCCAAAACATCTCGGAAAATCATAACGCGTATACATATATTTCTTTCTACAAAAGTCCAAGACTCGAGAGACACACGCGGTATAATTTTCGTGTAAAGAAAATTGTCGCTCGAAAATGACCGGCTAATAAACAGGCCACGTCCTAAACGTCACAATCTGTGTGAAGCGCGTGTATTATTAAAAACAAAATAGAATCTAATCTCTAGAGATTCGGCGCCGGACTCGGCGCGCGTTCCGTCGGAAAAAAAAAACTTACCTGCGATTAAGCAGAACTCCACTGTGACGACTAGTCGAACGCGTCCGACAGGCAACGTTTCGTCATCTCGTTTCGACGAAGGAAGAGGAGTCCTTCTCCCCCTAGTATCCTACACACTGGCACATCGCCGTCGACGTTCGCCTCTTCCCCGACGTCTCTCAGTTTCTGGAGCGTCGGCAAAAAAAAAAAAAAAAAGAAGGATTCCGATATATATCACTTCTCGGGGGAAGGTTAGGTCGGGGAGAATAGCACCACCTCGACGAAAGGAACGCGAGAGCACCACACGCGAAAGACGTAGAAGACGAGGAGAGAGAGAGGCCCGGGACAATCGCCGCCTTCCTTTCGCGGAAGCACGGAGGATCGCACGGCAAGCTACATTTCGCACCGAGCGACGTCTCGGGACGAAAAAGGCCGACGTCTTCTCGCGTCACGATTTACGTGGATTCGTCCTGGCGATCTCGCATCTCCTCGCCCGAGGATGTTGGGATACACCGCGTCGCTCGGCTTCGAGCGGGCTTCCTTCTCTCCGCGGCGCGACTGTCAGTCGATCGCCGTCGGCGCTTCGGGCATATCTCCCTTTAATACGCGCCGGCCGGGCGTAGCTTAAAGTTGCGCGCTTTACCGAGCGGACTTTTCGCGAGAGAATACATCCGCGTCTCGCGGATGTGCAAGTCGCAGCGGCACCGTGACGCGATACGATCGCCCGGGGACGTGATAGCGCGACCCGGGTGTTCCACTCCGCGAAAGAGAAACGGATCGAACGATAAGTTCCCGTCGTAGAAACGGCACGTCGTCCCGATATCGTACAACTTCACGCGGAACGTATCCGATCCCTCGGACGACGAACCGGATCGGGAGAACAACGGACGAGACGCGGCCGAATACCGACTCGGCCGCAGACGCGGAATCGCATTTCCGGAGATAATCCGGAGATAGAGCACGGAGCGACGGAACGTCCGCACCGTTGAACGACCGAATTGTGACTGAGGATTATGGGTTCGGGCGGTCCCGCCGTGGCGCCAGAATGGGGCGAAACGAGCGCCGCCCCGTCCGCTAAAGCCACGTCCATCTCGACGGCGGGTCGAGCTTCCCCGTGAGAGAGGCGCCGCCTCCTTTCCAGGGGTACTCGCTTTCCTCCGATCGCGAGGTCGGATCGAAATTTTTTTTCTCAACGCCGATAATTAATTATACGAAAGACGATGCGTGGCAAAAGAGCGAGCGATCGGCGAGAGTCCGTCGATACGCGTCTAATGATTTTAGCGCGATTGAGCGAGGAACGTATGAGCATTCCTGTTTCAATAGATCGCTTTTTAATCGTAGGATAATTCATTTTTATGAAAATATCGAGAATTGTATGGGCGGATAATTGAGCTATGTGACTAATTAATTTTTCTCTAATGAATCACGTTACTGAAAAGGCGAGGCTTTAACGAAATGAAAGCTTCTTTATTCCGATTATGTCTTGTTTTTATCATTCAAAACAAGCTATAAAAGTATTTTTTTTTTTAAACGTCAAGCATGTCAATATTTGTTTAATTTGACCGATTTTGCAATATATTCTTAGTTAGAGTCATCGCTATTTGTGTGACGTCTCATCTATAATTATTATGCCAAAATAATAAGTTAAAGATAATACATGTCAAGTATTATCTCTCTCTCTCGCTCTCTATGATTTTCTCTGCAATCTTGCTAGAATTAAAAAATACTAATATCAATATGTATGACGTTTAACAAAACATTCTTTCCCCTTCTCTCTTCCCCATTTAGAAGAATATCTAATTGATTTACCAGAGAAACAAAATTGCAATTTAAACATACAATTTTCATATTTTGTAATAAATCGTAGGCTGCTTTTTTCCGCACTAGTATTTTTTAATGTATTTGTTTCTCGACATAGAACTCGATATAACGCTCGTCCAAATTTTATAAACGTTATCTCAAAATCATTCATAGTTGTGCTATATCAAAACATATTTCATTGATCGGTATAAATGTAAGATGCATTGTATATTATTTTCATCACTATTTTTTTTTTTTTAATTTATTATGCATGCAGCAATGCAAGAATCGCTTCTATATTTTACTGTCTAAAAATATCTTAAGCTCGGATGTAATGAATAATAAATCAGGATATATGTGTGTATTTTACTAAATTAATAATAGTATAATAAAGTAATAATAGTGAAATTGAGATTTAGTATTTTAAAATATATAATATTTAAAACAAAAGTTTAATAATTTTCATTAGAAATTTAACACGCGCAGAGCAAATATTTTATTCTTGTGCACAGGACATTCCTAATTTCTACCAAGTAAAACTTTTTGTAAATGATAGAGTATTTTCAAAATCCGGACTGAATATTGTCACCACTTTATTTACTATTACTATATGATAGTAAATATAAATGTAATAGTAATTCTTATACAGAAAGCATACAACATACAAAATGTCACAAAGCATCTTACATTTTTTAATTGTATGTTTTCCACAAATACATTAACGTGAAGGAGGAAAAATAACGGCGGTCGGTAATTATCATACCCGTATCGGACGTGAATGCGATCTAATCTTGATCTAACTTACAATCTCGATCCAACGACTCATTTCGTCCTTCGTTCCCCGTTCCCAGCGTGGCTAATCGACGCTTCCGGCAACGGTTCTTGAGCCCATATCACAGACTACGCAATGAAAATTAAAGATGGAAATTTGACTAATTAATGAAGGGAAAGCTTGTCCCGATTGATAAAATTTCAATGTTGATCTACGGATTTTAAGCCTATGCAACGGGCCCCGAAGACTCTCGGGATTTGCGCGCCTAAGGACGTACAACGGCGACGATGATGGTCCGATTCTCCGATTACGCGAATCTCGCGTGCGCGTCAGCATGGCGCCTTCCCGCGAGCAGAGGGCGGTCGGCCCGGTCTCCCCGCGTTCGCGCCCGCGCCACGCCCCGATAACGAGGACGACCCGGAGTGCGGCTTTTTGCGTGTGTACGCTCGTCGAGGCACGCTCCGCCTCGCGGGCGCGCGATCAAACGCCATGACGCGTGCGCCGCCACCCGCGGGACTCTATGACGCTGACGCGCGTTCGAATTACTCTGCCGCCATGCTCGCTCTCTCTCTCTCTCTCTCTCTCTCTCTCTCCTCGACGGAAAGCCGCGATCGAGAGACGCGACGGCCGGGCCGGCCGCGCCAAGCCGGGTTCTCCTCTCTTTCTCCTCCGTTTCGCTCCTCATTTGCGTTTTCCGTACGGTTGACGGGAACCGCCGGCCAAACAGCGGTGCCGATGGGAAGCGGCCGAACCGCGACGAATAGTTTTTGGCTATCCTTGTCTAAACATCCTGCGACGTGTTTCGACTTCCGAAGAAGACTGGAGGGAGTGCTGGCATCTATCAATTCGTCGCGAATTTCAAATTGGCGGATCGTTGAACTTTTTGATATTTTTCACACCATTTGAATAATTCGATTTTTGTGTTGAATTAAGATATTTTATCAATTCACTTATACATGCACAATCTTGTTATTAGAATTTATAATGCAGTTTTGTTTTAATTAAAATCCAAAAATTGGCATTTTTAATGCAGTTTCAAAATATCAGTGGCAGAATCCTGCTTTTTGTTCGATAATAATCTAAATTATTGATATGAAAAAAGTATTTGGATTATCGGAAAAGTTAATTCAAACAGATCGAATGTGCAATATTAAAATTATAACAAGTAATAAAACATGTGACTTCGATAGATAGCTGTATAAATAGAGTATAGTAGATTTCGATGATACGGCATGTACAACTATGCTACGTTCACTCGTAACGATTTTGAGCGCGAAATACAATAGGCACAATATATTGTTTTTGAAATATATATAACATTGAAAATTAAATCGATAAAATTATATCATTTTTACGATTTATCAGTTGATATGTCATCGCATAAAATTACAAAAAAAAAACTCATTTGCCGAAACCCGGGATTGAACCGGGGACATTTAGATCTTCAGTCTAACGCTCTCCCAACTGAGCTATTTCGGCTCGTATGATTAGACCTTCACTCTACTGTTCTTTGGCAATCACGCTAGGTGTATCATTACAGTTGTGTTGTGTACCGTTATACTGCAATTTTTTTTTGCATATGTGTGAATAGACCTTCGTCCACCTTCTTCAATTTCATTGTTAATCTGCCACATATGCATTCTCGATTTTGTGCTGGAAACACGTGGAACGCGACAAGTAGCGGGCTGTCATTTCGCAATTTCTACGAATATTCGCAAAGTTTAGCGTTGTGCGATACAATAAGACAACAGAGATGCGACGATCGATGATAAATTGCAACCAAGTGCAAACTCAAGTGATAACGGAAGGTCGTTGGATAGAGGAGGATCCGCTACCCCATTCCAGCAAGCACGTAGTGCTCGTTATTCCTGGGAATCCAGGTGTTCCGCGATTCTACGAGGGATTCATCAAGGCGCTCAACTCGAGATTAACTCTGGACACACCTGTGTGGGTCATCGGACACGCTGGACACGTCCAACCGCCGGACAACTTGGAGATTGCTATGCCCGGTGACGAGAAATGGGCAGAATGCTATAGTTTGCAAGCGCAGATTCAACACAAGGTACATTTGAGACATCTCTCTCTCTCTCTCTTCAGCCACTTCATAAATTAATTTACCAATATACAATATCTTGTATAATATTATGGTATATGACTTATAATATTATGTTTTTCTTTGCAGGTAGAATTCATAAAAAAGTACATTCCAGAGGATGCGCAGCTACATCTTATTGGACATTCCATAGGTGCCTGGTTTGTGCTCAATTTACTGAAGAATAATGACATTAACAAAAGGATAAAGAAATGTTATATGTTGTTTCCTACGGTAGAATATATGGCAGAGAGCCGTAATGGGATTTTCTTTTGTAGCTGTGTGCGTTTCTTTGCATATCTATCATTGTTATAATACGTTTTTCAAATGTACGAATGATTGCAAGTATCTTTTCTTTTTCACACAGGTATCACGCATTGCACCAGTATTGATTTTCCTATCTTGGATCTTCACAGGAATGTTTCCAGTCTCTCTACAATCATTAATGATACGTATTTTTGGTATATTTTGGGGTATTCCAGCCAGATCTATCAAAGCGGTTCA